GCCCGAGGCAGAGTTGCTCTGCCCCAGGCTTCCTGGAATCAGCTGCTGATCAGTTTCAGCAGCAGCTGACTTGGGGACGCCTGGGGTTCTTAAGTTGAAACTGTATGTAAGTCAGAACTGGTGTCCAGATTCAGCGGCTGAATCTGGATGCCAGTTCCGACTTACATACAGATTCAACTTAAGAAACCTACAGTCCCTATCTTGTACATAACCTGGGGACTGCCTGTATTCCCAAAAGTGGGGGCCTTATTCCTGTCCTAGGTTCCCATTGCACTAGCCTTGCTGGAAGAAGGGCCACAGGGCAATGATAAATCATAGAATCATAGGGAGAGACCTCAGGATGTCATCAAGTCCAGCCCTCTGCCCAAAGCAGGACCAATCCTAACTAAATTAACCGATCCAGGGCTTTATCAAGCGGAGACTTAAAAACCTCTAAGGATGGAGATTCCACCACCTCCCTAGGTAACCCATTCCAGTGTTTCACCACCATACTAGTGAAATAGTTTTTCTAATATTCAACCTAGACCTCCCCCACTGTAACTTGAGACCGTTGCTTCTCGTTCTGTCATCTGTCACCACCGAGAACAGCCTCTTTCCATCCTCTTTGGAACTTCCAGTTAGGAAGTTGAAGGCTGCTATCAAATCCCCCTTCACTCTTCTCTTCTGCAGACAAAATAAGCCCAAATCCCACAGCCTCTTCTCATAGGTCATGTGCTCCAGCCTCCTAATCATTTTGGTTGCCCTCCACTGGATCCTCTCCAATGTGCCCACATCCTTTCTGTAGTGGAGGGTCCAGAACTGGACACAATATTCCAGATGTGGCCTCACTAGTGCCAAATAAAGGGGAATAATCACTTCTCTACATTTGCTGGCGATCAGGGCCTACTTTGTATTCATTTTTAAGCGTTAAGGGGGTATGAATCCTGAGAGCTGATCAGAGTACTTCAGCCTGCCTCCTGCCTCCCAGGATCAGGCCATTGTTACTAAACATAATCACGTTCGGTCTTTCTGTAACACCTTTCATCAGTGTCCCCAGAAAAGTTAACAAACTTACACCTGCAGGAACAGAATTTTAGACCCCACTGATGTGCTACCAGACAGTTCTGTGGGAAGGCAGCCATTATTCAGTGACAAGCAACACTTAAAACAACCCCTGTTTCCTCCCACTCTCGGAAAGCAAAAAGCAACCAACAGTACAGGACATAAATGCCTGCCCAAGAAAAGTAACTTTATCACTTGAAACATCAGGGGAAATGTAGGTGAATGGATTTCTATAGCAGTTGTCATGGGATCTTTAATGACCAGAAATGGCAGAACCTTAGATTTATGTTTGAAATATATCACCTCTTGTTGCATACTAGGTCATTCGTTCACTTCCTATGCAGTCTTTGTGTAGCCACTGAGATATAGAGCATGTTCTGTAACACATTTGTTTAAATTCCCTTTGTTTGATTAAACAGAAGCTTGATTTAAGTCACACTATTAAATTAAGTCTTCATATATAAAAATCGTCATTCATTACTAATGACTTGGCATTTAAAATATTTTCATCTTACGTAATGAATGTACTAGTCTCTACTTCAACTTTTTGGTTTATTTCTTACATTTCTCTATGCTTGGGCAACAGTAAAGGACTGTTCAGTTTTATTTATGTTTGGATTTCAGTTTCACATTGACCCTCATGGATTTAGAACAGTGCTGCTGTGTTGGATGAAATATAAGGGTATTGTATTTAGGATCATGATTGCCAGCTCTCATGATTTTTATCATGAGGCTTTGTTCTACAGAAAGCCTCAGCTTCTGGAGTCAGGTGATTCTCTCAGCTTCAATTTAAACAAAAACACATTTCTGGCCTTCACTGTTGTGGAGGAAAGCTTGCAAGCATAAAACATATATGCTCAAAACCAAGAAGGCTCATACAAAGAAGCCTGCATTTATTTGTTAAAAACTTATGAGAGTTGGAACCCTGAATCATAATTTTTGAAAGCTTAAAGCTGGCACTGCTGTTTCACCGAGATGAAGAAATCATGGGAAATTTCATGTTGGGGTTTGTGACCAAACCTCTTAAAATATATTTAGCATGTTTGGGGGGAGAGAGCAAAGTATTGAGCCTACAAGAACTGGTGGTGCCCTCTGAAAATGCAATGTGAATTCAGTGTGGAGATGCTTCCTTTGCAGGGATTTTCAAGCAGCGACTAAACCAAAGACTGTGTCTGACAACGGAAAAGGAGAACTTGAAGAAGAATGGGAGCCTCGGGTGAGTATTCCCTGCTGAGCAGATAAGGATAGACAACCTTTTTGGCCCAAGGGTTACATTGGTATGGAAATTTTATGGAGTGCTAGGTAGGGAAGAGTGCGGGAGGCTGTACTTCCTGAACGGTGAGGCATAGCCTGGCTCCTGCCCCCTATCCAACCCACCTCCATTTCCAGCCTGGAGCACTGGGTGGGGGAGGAGGGCAGCAGTGTGGTGACTACACCAGGCTTTTGGGATAGAGGAGCAGAAAGGGAGAGGCTGGGGGCTAGCTGCCCATGCTCACTGTGCTGCCTGAGAGTTGGGCTGGCTTCATCCAGTTTGTCTGCCCCAACCCTGCTTTCTAGAGAGAGCTCAGAAGCTGGACTGAAGGGTCCAACAGGCTGGATGTGGCCCACATAGTTTGCACCTCTCTGGAGTAGATGATCAGCATAAGCAAGACGGGATTTAGACTATTCTGAATCTTTCAATCTGTGGAATTAATGGCCACACAAAGAAGATTTTGTCTACTGCTCCTGGAGGAATGCTGCACTGTTTCATAATGCAGAATTACATTTTTCCCACAGAATTGGCACTGCTGAGCTGCTGGCTGCTGCTAGGGGCTGCTGGAGCCAGCAGAGCCCAGCCTCACTTGGCTGGGCCCTTTCTGTGTGTGACAGCTGCCAGAGCCAAGGAGCTGCATCCAAAGGGGAGAGAGAACTGCAGAGATGGGCTACTGTTTTCAGGGAGGAGAGATTGAGGTTAATGGGAGAGGTTAGTTGGGGGATCATGACTCAAGCTGTTATAGCTCCACTCTAATCCAAAATGGCATCTGTGTGGCCTCGCAGATGTATGCAACTCCTCCTGTGGAACTGTGGGTCTTCCTCCCCTCCCCCCATTAGCAACAACTGGCCCTTCATTTTTGTAGTCTAGTCCGGAACAAAGCAGTATTTTTACCATCAGTGCCTTCTGGGACTGAGGCTGGATTTTATAGCAACATTACTCAAGTTAATGGCCAATGCTGATTTACTGGGTTCAGTTGCTCAGCTGGCTTTGCCATTTGAATGTAGCAGGTATGTTGGTTTTTAGGTTGTAGAAGAGTTTTGAATCATGATCAGGAGTTAAGATTTTAATTTAACAACTATTACATAAAAGCACTGCAAAGAGTAGCAACTCCCCACTATCTTTTACTGGTCTTTTATCTTTATCTTTTACACCAACTTCTGCGGGTGAGAGGGACAAGCTTTTGAACTGGCGTAGAGCTCTTCTCTGTGTAAGCTCAAAAACTTGTCTCTCTCACCCGCAGAAGTTGGTCCAATACATTATCACCTCACCAATCCTGTCTCTCTCATAGCCAGAGACCAACATGGCTACAACATCAATGTAATGGGTGAATTTTCAAAGGTAAAATCTTCAAAAGTACTCTCATCCCTCCCTAGAAATCCTGCTGCTGTTTAATAGGATATCCAGAGTTCCTTACAGACAAACTTATGGTTGATGTCACAAGAGACATGTAAGCAGCAACTCTCATGATCTATAGTGGTGTTATCAGGCAATAGGCTAGATCAGTGTTTCTCAAAGTAGTCTGTGGACCCAGGCTGAGAGAGCTGCTACTGACTAGCTCCAGTTTGTTCACTTACTGGCTCCACAGCCATGGAGCCTCATGGCTCCCATTGGCTGCGGTTTGCCGTTTGCAATCAAGAGGAGCTGTGGGAAGCAGTGGCCCAGGCTATGTTGCTTCCTGCAGCTCCCTTTGGCTACAGACAGCAAACCGGCGCCAGAGCCAGTAAATGAACAAACCGGAGCGGCCCAGTAGCAGCTTTCTCAGAGTGGGTCTGTGAACCACTTGGAAGAACACTGGGCTAGATGAACAATTGCAATTAGCCTACTGTTTCAATTTAATATGCCAACCCCCTCTTTGGGGAGACCTTAATAATAAAGGGTTTCACTTACATTTCCACTGCTGTAGATTCTTATCATATTAGCCATGGATTGTGTGACCTGTAATGTTATGATGCATGATGCACATATATCATTTATAGCAGGGCATCTAATCAATAGTCACGGGGAAAAGTTTAATCCAGCCTATGAATCAATTCCAAAGTCCTCTACTGAAGCAAAACAACCTGCATTTTACTCTGATGAACTGGAGCTGCTGGAAACAGCCCAGAGTGCCAGAGAGAACAGTTTCTGGAGTATGCTAGCTCAGCTATCTTGCAAGACCAGGAGCCTAGAAACGGAAGTAAATAGGAACAAAACATTATGCTGCAAGGGTAATCCATTGTATTTCCAAACTGTAAATAGCACGTACATTGGTATCATCTCTGTGTATGTAAAACACAGACACCAACTTTAGATCTTTGATCTGTCCCTCTTAAGCCAGATCCTTGACACATTTAAATTCATGTTGCTCCATTGAGGATTTGGCCCATTATTATTCAAACTAGCCAATAGTCCAAACGGCTGTTTGAGCTCCGCGCTCCCCATGCAGGGGCAAGCAGCACAAGTGGCTGTTTGGGCTCCCAGGCTCCCCATGCAGCACGGGGACTGCGAAGCCCAGAAGGCCTCTTGTGCTGCTTGCTCCCTCAGTGGCCCAGCTGAGCAGCGCAGAACTCAGCTGAGCGTCACGGTGGGACGGGAAGGGGGGCAGGGTGGTGGCGGGGCGGGGCATGCAGGGTGTGCTGCATGGGGAGCGCGGACCCCAAACGGCCGCTTGTGCCGCTTGCTCCCCCGCAGCAGCCCGGCTGAGTGGTGCAGAAGTCAGCCAAGCGCCACGGTGGGAGGCAACAGCACCACCCAGAGGCAAGACATAACGCTACAGTGTTACAGATTCACAGACATTGGGCTACTATATATATGATATAAGAAGCAGGTATAGGCTATTGCATACATGTTTAATAATGAAGATCAAAAGATAAATATGCAAGTCAGGAAAGTAACTTATTCTACATCAAAAACAACAAGGAGCCCACTTTAAAAGAATGACAAGTTTATTAGGAACAACAAAAAGTCCCGTGGCACCTTATGGTAAAGCTTATTTAAAAGACCACTAGATGGCAATATCCCTTTTCTTTATCAGAATTAGAAATGCTTTGAATTATGCCAAGGACTTTCTCGGTGGTATGGAGACCCAATGAGACTGTGTTCTCCAGCCATTTGTGGCTCAAAATATGGTCTCATTGAAAATTCCAGCTAGCAAGAAGTTAGAGAAGCAGGATGGATAGATTAGATGGAATGTCAAGATTAAAGGCTGAGTTGCTCCTAAATGGAAACTACCATATAAGAAACTGAGAGATTGATCTCACTTTATACCAGTGAGAATCTATGGACTATGTGAATTTACTCCACCTGAGGATCTGGCTCAATACTGGGTGCATGTTTTACAACAAATTCCTAGCAGCATCTTTGAGTTTGTCAAGATTAGTGCCTTACAGCTTCTGGAATGTTTGTAGTTTGTCACATGAGAAGTAGTTGCTAGATCTAGAGTTATGTGTGATTGGGCTGCTTTGGAAACCACCATATAAACTGAGACTGGCCATGACAGGGTCTATTGTTAGGTCAAAGAGACTGAGGATATTGGTTGAAAGCCCCTGGTTTTGGTAGCCTATGCAGAAGGAAGTCTAATTCTCCTTATTGCCATATGTCTCAAGTTCATATATTAGGATTTATTATTTCAGTATTAGAGTAACACTGTCAGGCCTTAGTCAGGGCTGGAAACCCATTGGCTGTGTCTAGCCTGGCAAGTTTTTCCTCAAAATCATCTGCTTTTGCGGAAAAACTTGCCAGCTGTCTACACTGGCCGTTTGAATTTCCGCAAGAACACTGACGATCTCATGTAAGATCGTCAGTGTTCTTGCAGAAATACTGTGCTGCTCCTGTTCGGTAAAAAGCCCTCTTGCGCGAATCATTTGCTCAAGACGGGCACTGTAAACAGCACAGTACTGTTTTCCGCAAAAAAGCCCCGATCGCGAAAATGGCAATCGGGGCTTTTTTGCGGAAAACCACGTCTAGATTGGCCACGGACGCTTTTCCGCAAAAAGTGCTTTTGTGGAAAAGCATCCTGCTAATCTAGACGCGCTTTTCCGAAAATGCTTTTAACGGAAAACTTTTCCGTTAAAAGCATTTCCGGAAAATCATGCCAGTGTAGACATAGCCATTGTGTTGGGCTCTGGCTACACACACAAGATAAAAGACCGTGCCTGCCCTCAAAGAGCTTACCCTTCTTTTCACTTGTCACACTTTAGCTGAAAAAAGAAGAAGAAGAAAAAAAGCTCCTTGCTTTTGAATATTGCTGTGGTACATTCTGATTAAGAAAGTTTGATTTAAGTGATTAATCCAGGATCAGACAAGAATTTTGTGATAGGGACAGGGGTAGAATCCAGTCCTCCAGGGCAGCACTCAACTGCCTTAATCATGAGATTGTCCTTTCTCTTCCCAACGTCTCCTGCCTCATTCACCTTCCAATGACTGCTAGAAATGAGGCATGGATCCTACAGATGCTGCCTTCTTCACTATCCATTCTTGATTTCATTTCCCGATTCAATCAGACTCAGTTCTCCCTGCCTACCCCGGCTTCCCTTTGGTTCTTTCTTCTCTCACTGCTTTCCCACTGACTCTGAGTCTCTGGCCAGTTCTACACTAGAAAAGTAGGTTGGTGTAGCCACCTCACTCAGGGGTGTGAAAACTCCATAGCCGTGAGTGGCAAAATTAAGGTGACCTATGTCCCTTGTTGACAGTGCTGGGTTGATGTTCTCGCTACCACCTCTGAGGGAGGTGGATTACCTGTGCCAGTGGAAAAATCCTCCATCAGCAGAGGTTGTGTTTAAACTGAAGTGATTGTGGCACTGCTGTAGCACTTTAGGTGTAGACAAGCCTTTAGCTTCCTGAAGCTAATCCATCTTTCCCAATTCTATGTCCCAGTCTGCACTCCTCTACTCCCTTTAGGTACAGCTTTTCTCTCCTGTGTATTCAAATCTGCTGGCTTCTTCTTCTGTGCTTCCTGGGTCATTTGGCAGGGGTAGGAGAGTGTCACTGAGAGCACAGGAGAGACAGGTTCCTTATTCTCAGTTCAGTGTCTGGAACTGGAGATCCTGCACAGTCTGTGGCAGCTCAGAGCTGCAAGTTCAGAAAAAATCTTGCTCCGCGCCAGGGTGCAGACAACATTTACAGGGCATTTTCACTGCAAACGTCTAAGAAGCTTGCACAAATTGCAATATTTTTCAAGCGCTTATAACTTGGCTGCACTTTTCTCAGATTTTTGCGGGGGTGGCGAACAGCACATCTTTGACAATAAAGTCTCCACTCTCACCAGATTTCTAGCTTCCTGCTCCTACACATGGGGACCCAATAGCCTTTCAAAGAAAAGGTCATCCAACTTTAACTTGTTTTAGCAAAACAACATTTAGTTTTGTTCTCAGAAACAGCCAAACCATTTTAGCTGGTATTTTTAAAAATAAATCAGCCTGAGGCAGACATTTGGCATGGGAAAACTGCAGCTCAAACAGTTAACATCTGACAAAGTTATAAGCAGTTGAAAACCAAGTCTTGTAATGGGAAGTATTAAGGAACTTTCATAATAGGAGGTGCTACAAGCCCTTCTCTCAATAATAGTTCATACTGCAGCACATAACATAGAATACTACTAGGCTGTGTCTATACTGGTGTGATCTGCTGGTCTACACTGGCCGCGTGTTCTTGTGCAAGTAAACTGACATTCTAATATATGAAATCGGGGCTTCTTGTGCCAGAACTCTGATGCTCCCGCTCAGGAATAAGCCCCTTTGCGCAACTGTTCTTGCGCAAGAGGCCAGTGTAGACAGGCACCATGAATTTCTTGCACAAGAAAGCCCTATGGTTAAAATGGTCATCAGAGCTTTCTTGCACAAGGGAGCGTCTACACGGGCATGGATGCTCTTGCGCAAAAGTACATGTCAGTGTAGATGCTCTCTTCTGGAAGAGTTTTTGCACAAGAACTGGACTATATATCATTTGTAAATCCTTCACTCTGCTTCCAATCTTCTTTATTGCAGCAATACCATCTGATTCGAAGTGATGCCATCCAGCAACTGAAAGGAAAAGGGGAACAACCTTACCCACACAAATTCAATACTGACACTACCCTTGGTGAATTCATTGAGAAATTCAGCTACCTCTCTGATGGACAGAACCTTCCTGACAATCACATATCTCTGGCAGGTTAGTATATGATAAGGTAGTAATTTCTAATTGCGCCCAAAGGTCCCATCTTAGTTAGTGTTTATTCATAAGGAATGGTGGTTTACAAAAGAGCATACATTGAATGTGATCCAGTTACTCAATCATATTGCATGTGTGACAGGGTCAGGCCAAGGAGCTGCTATAGAGAAGGGAAAAGGCAGCCTCAAAAGGGAAAAACCCTGTGAGAAGAAGCAGAGAACTGCAGCCCAATTAAATGCAGCTGGGAGGGAGCTGGCTCAGGCAAATTGGGGCCAGCTGACTTCTCTGCTGTCTGTCTGAGGGCCTTTAAAAGCCTCAGCAGTTGGAGGCTGGAAGGGAGAGTGAGGGGATGAAAGGAAGGTGGTGGAGAGACAAAGAGGAAGAAGTCAGAGAAACAATTTTGACCAGCATTAGGTAAAGGCAGCTAGGGAGGGAACCTGTGAGCACCTGGCTGGGCTCCCTACCATTGAGAGTGCTGCAAAACCCCAAACTCGGGGGCTAAGGGGAGGAGGCCTACCCAGTGGTGGCTTGGGGAAGAGGGGCCATTGCCACACATGTCTTTTCAGATTATGTGCTACTATTCAATGAAAGTAAAACAAAATGTCATCTGTTCTGATTTCCGAGAGGACCATGTGCTTTATACTGTCTTAGGCTACGTCTAGACTGCAAGCCTCTTTTGAAAAAGAGTGTCTAGACTACAACCAGTACTTTCAAAACAGTGAGCCACTTTTTCAAAAGAGAGCACCCAAGCAGTCTGGATGCTCTCTTTAGAAAAAGCACTGTTTGCATTACATAGCGCCTTTTTTCGAAAGAGCACTTTCAAAAAAAGGTGTTCCTTGTAAAATGAGGTTTTCCACAGTCGAAAAAACTGCCATGTTCTTTCGATTTATTTTCGAAAGAATGCAGCAGCGGTCTAGATGCAGGGGAAGTTTTTTTAAAAAAAGGCCACTTTAAAAAAAACAACAACCTGTAGTCTACATACACCCTTTGGGTATGTCGACACTTGCACCCTCTTTTGAGAGAGGGATGCAAATGAAGAGATTAAAAATTGCAAATGAAGCCGGGATTTAAATATTCTGTGCTTCCTTTGTATATTTACATTATCGTGCTATTTTGAAATATCGCTATTTTGAAATAACACTGTTAAGATGCAGTTATTTTGAGAGAGAACCCTTTTCTTGAAATAACTGATAAACCTCATTGTATGAGGAATAAGGATTATTTTGAGAGAAGGGTTTTCTTCTTAACCACGTCTTAACAGCATCTGTTATTTCCAAATAGCACTATTTCAAAATAGCGCCATAATGTAAATATACAAAGGAAGCACAGAATATTTAAATCCCGGCTTCATTTGCAATTTCAAATGTCTTCATTTGCATCCCTCTCTCGAAAGAGGGTGCAAGTGTAGACATACCCTTACTCTAACGCTAATTCAAGAAGCTTCAGAGGTTATCTGAGTTAGTCTGTAACAGGAAAAACTTAAACAACAAATAATCTAATAGCACTTTAAAGACTAACAAAACCACCTACATGTTCTGTTAGTCTTTAAGGTACTACTAGACTATTTGTTGTTTTTTAAGTTTTTTCTAATGCTAATGTTAACTAAACTATCTGGCACTGAGCCTCATGTAGTCTCTCAGATAGTTTGGACTTAACAAGTGAAAACATGTGCAAATGAATAGAGAGCCAATGAACAACATACACTTGGACATAGTATTTTTTCCTTATAAATAGAAGTTAAGTTTATGCAAAGCTTTCCCTGTTACATGGAACAAAATGACATATTTTCATAAAGATTCTTCTTTTTCTGATATTATTAATGTTCTTGTGCACTATTTGGGTGACTGCAAACTACAGCTAAAACTAAAATCCTATTTGAATTTCACAAGAGGTCTCTGGCTTGTGCTGCAGCAAGTTTTTGTTAAAATATTAAATGAGCCTTGGATAAGGCTGAATAGAAGGTGTTATGGAACAAAATGACATATTTTCATAAAGATTCTTCTTTTTCTGATATTATTAATGTTCTTGTGCACTATTTGGGTGACTGCAAACTACAGCTAAAACTAAAATCCTATTTGAATTTCACAAGAGGTCTCTGGCTTGTGCTGCAGCAAGTTTTTGTTAAAATATTAAATGAGCCTTGGATAAGGCTGAATAGAAGGTGTTATTTGACAATGTCTGCAGCTGGGCCCCCAAATGGAGAGAGTGGAAGGGTACTTTTTACAAGGTCCTGGAGACCCTGGAGAAAGCCCATCCCCGACCAGGAATTATGGTGTTAATGTGTGAGAGGGGGCCCATGTTACTAGTTTGCACTGGCCTCATAAAAATTATGCTTGGTCCTGGTCTGCAGAAATCTTAAACCATTACATTAATTAGACTAATATATAAGTACTAGAAGATCTACCCAGTGTTGCTTGGGTCCTTAACTCAAATAAGTTTTGTTTTTCTTCATTTAAATCATTGCTCTGGAGTTGGGCTGTGGATGAGGGGTTCAGTATGCTGGCTGCCCTGAAGAGAGATGACAATCCCTCTTACCGCAGCTGCTTAAGTCCAAGTGAGAAGCACCTGTTCATGGCCGCTGCAGCTGCAACGGGCACAGTTGTGGGGGGTGCATGTCCCCTGGCTCAGGGATAGACACATAAACAGACACACAAACAGAGAAACTCTCTGAAATACATAGTAGATAGCTGCACAGCTCCATTCCTACCCCCTGCTGGCCCAATGGAGTTATAGTTGTCCAGATCCCATCTCTGGTCCATTGCTGCCCCCTGTGGAGTAAGACTATAGAGTAACTGTCCCTCTACCAGGCCCCTTCCCTTTCCATTTATGAGAAATAAGTGCATTCCAGGCAGATCCCATTGTCCTGGCACAACCAAACCCTTACTTTACTTCAAATTATAAGAAGAAGCTGCATACCAGATGTTGTGGTCCTAGCTTGTACTGTACAAATGAACTCACAGATGGACAGACAGACACATTTCTAAAATAAGGCTTCCTCTTTTATGCTTCCTGGGCCATGGGAGTTGGGGGTGAAGTGTTACTTAAGTTTAATTCCTGCCATTAAACTTGTTCGACTGCTGGCAGAAAGCCAGTACAAAAGAGATGTGAACATGGTCAAGTCTCAGAAAAATAAACGAATGCAGTTAGCTTTATAAAACTGCTTTGAGGTGGGTTTGCATTATTATACTGGCTTTACAGCTGAGGTAACTGAAGCAAAGAAAGGTTAAGGGACTTGCCCAAGATTTCACAGCATTGCCTATCTAGCGAGTGACTATACACAGATACAGAAATTCTGAGACAGTCCCTTAAGTATCCCCCCATGGTGTCCTTTCCATTTTGATCAGGCCTCTGTACTGAAGTGAAGCATGACAGCACAGCTGTGTAAAATATACTGTCAAAGAAGGTGCCATACTGAATGAGATCAGTAGTTCACCAGGGGCGGCCCGTCCATATAGGCGATGTAGGCAGTCGCCTAGGGCGCCAGGTTAAATGGGGCACCAAATGGTGGAGCAATATCATTGAGGGGTTTGGAGGTGGGGGCACCGATTGCGTGGTTTGCCTAAGGCACCAGTTGCTGGCAGCTAGTCTAGGGCTGCCCCTGTCCATCTAGTTCAGTATCCTATTTCTGGCAGTGCCAGCTACTTCAGAGGGAGGTGCAAAAAATGGTAGTGAAAATGGTTACAGAATAATTTGTGGTTGGCTTATGTCCTGAGGAAGGAGGGTTTATAACTCCTTCAAGACTTGGGCTGCTGAGGTGGGAGTCATACTTATCTCCTGACCTTCTTCCTTGGATTTAAGGGCCCAGATTCTGAACTGTGACTAAGGAGTGCTCAGTTTAGCAGTGGCCAGAGTGAGCAAAAGTGACCGTCACCTTTGTCCTCCACTCAGTTCCTGAACGGAGGACAATCCCAGGCTGACTGGTTCCTCTCTGCAACTAAGAGCAGCTGCAGGAAGTGCAGGGATACAAAAAAAAAAGAAAGATAATTTATTAAACAAATAGCAACCTTTCCCCCCATGAAACAAAATAAAAACTTGTCTTCAGTTTTGATTGAAGGTTTGGCTTACTCATTGTATCTGAAGCAAATCAGTTATTCCTCCATTCATCACCTGAACTGATTCTAGTATTTCCCTGTGTCATACCTAAAAGTGTATTTGTTCTAAATCATGAGCTTGCCAGTGTATCAGTGATATCAATCTTCTTGTTCATTTTTCAAAGAGTCTCTGAAACTCTATCAGCATGCAAGTCTCCTCTTATAGGAGACTGCTAATCATTGTAATTATCTCTTACTTTGAAGTTATCACAGAAATAGGTCAAGCCCTATATTATAACAATTTCAAAATTCTGCACCTTGATTGGAAAGTGCACTTAGTCTGCCCTGTGATTATGAATAATCCTAATGTCTAATAGAATGTGGCTGTAGACACGCACTTCTCCTACGATTAGTGATAGAATCCATTATTTTCAGGGTTTGCAACTCTACCGCAAACTATCTTCTGTTTAGCACTAGTGTTCAGCAGAACCCTTCCTGTTAGTTCAAACTGGAGGTGTAGGTGGGGAGGTGGGTCAATGAGATGTTCTCTCTCTTATCAAATGGTTCAAAAAAGGAAAAGTACCGCTCTCCCGCCCCCACATCCATACAGACACTCTGTGCCCTGAAGCACACAGGTTAGTCACTACACAAGGAATCCTTCCCCACCCCCGTGTTTTTGTTTTTTCTGTCGTTTATCATTAAAGAACCAATTTTTTTTTGGTAGGACGAATTCATGCCAAGAGGTCTGCTGGTGCAAAGCTCTTCTTCTATGATCTCCGAGGAAATGGAGTTAAATTACAAGTTATGGCCAATGCTAAGTGGGTAAACGTTACTTGTGAATAATGTGGAGCCTGCTGTGTAGTGAAGCAGAAAGAGAGATAGAGTAGCTGTAATAGTGGTGCTTTTGTTTATCTTAATCTTATTCCAGTGAAGTTCCTTGTTCAGTGTTAGAAGGAAGCAAACCTTTTCTGTGGTTATTTACCTTTGTCACATAATAGGGTCCAAATCTAAAATTCAGATCCAGAGCCAAACTGCCCTGAACTTTGTGGTGTTAATTCCTATTGATGGTGCTCTTCCATGTAGCTGCTCAAAAGCTCCTAGAAAGCTTAATATTTGCACTCTCTTTTGAATAGATGAAAGCCCTATTGGGGTGACCCAAAGACCACTGGTGTGATGAGTCTTCCCACTTATTTCAATGGGCTTCTAGCCAGAGCCTAATTAAAGGCTAATGATTTTTACTCTTTGTGTAGACAAATTATTT